CGAGTTTATGAGATCTTTATTATGTTATTTTATTTATTTTTACGCCCCAAAATTCATTTTAATATGAAGTCATTTTCTCATTAGAAAAAGAGCATGTCACATTTCCAATTATACTTTGATATGTGTCATTTTTTATTTTGTTTTTAATCGAAATTCTTTGTGGAACGAGAGTTTATTAATGTTTTAACCCCATATTTTGGGTTTATCCAGAAAAATGATTAATCAAAACAAGCTTATCGAAAATATTTAGCAGGAAATTAGATTAATCAGAACAGCTTCGAAACTTGGACCAGGGTCCGGTGGCTTGTATAGCATCGGCGCCGGGCAAGCCTTTCTTGTCTCCTTCTTTTAGTTTTGTTGATTCGTTTATGTTAAAAGTTTTTATCGTTGGTGGTGCTGGATTTTTCGTTTTCTAGCAAAGTGAAGTTGTAGGGGCCGGAACTTACGGCCATCTAATGATATAGGAGCCGAAACTTATGGTCATTCGAGTGGCTAGGCCACTAACTCCTCAGATCACATCTTACCGTCACTTCTCTCATATCCACATCTGAAATTGATTTGGTTTGCGAGATGCGACGGTGATGGTGGAGGTGGTGTGTAGTCTCCGTCGTGTGTTTGCTCCAGCGTCTCCTATCCGTTTTAGGTTTTTTTTAGGCGTTAACCAGTCTATGATGACTTCGCCACATCTGGAAGTTCACTCCAAACTTTGTTCGTGGAGACGTATAATCGGCTTTTGAAGCCTCAGTTTTTAATTTGAGAAGCAGACTTATTCTACTATATGAGGTATGTGTTGCTTGACTTTTCGTCATGGAATCTTCGGTTATTTGGTTTCGGTAATTTGGTTTCAAAAAGTTTTTAATTAAAGAAGGAGATTTATCTAAATCAAGAGAACTGTTGTCGTGATATCGTAAACGGTATTGGAAGTCCAGCTACTATTGTGGATTCGGGAATACCTAATTGACAACTTTACACTCGAGACAAGACATTTAACATCCTCCATTCTGAATATGCTAAATTCCCTGGATTACTGGAGCATTGTTTTTGTCCTGGACAATCTTTGCGCCGAGGCTATCGCCTTCATTGTCACGAAGGAACTCCCATATTAGTAGTATGTTGCTCGTGAAGGGCCTTCATGGCTTCATGTTCTTATAGAAGTAGAGTCCACCAATGGACATGAGAGCAGATGTTGACAGGCTGTTTTGTTGCTTGAAGTGATTTTAGGCTCCTGGCATAGCAATACCAATATAAGAGCCTACGATGATGGTGTTTCCCATTTTAAGGTGGTGGAATATTCATAAGTCCCGAACCTGAAACTTTGTATTTCGTTTATATAACACATATTGGTGTCTTATTTGAATCTTTGTAATCGTACCGGTTTTCGGTTTAATAAAATTGTGATCCAACGTTAAAAAAAAATTATTCATAATAAAATCATCGTTAGGAAGGATTTTGGATAGAAGTTGTTTTCTGTTTCAGTAATCTAATAACATATTTTACCGTAAATTAGTGTTTCCATCAATCACATGTTAGAGAGTACTAATGCTATATATCAACACTATTTGACTAAGGTTTTTTTCCAAGATAACCTTTAATTAAATTGATTATTGAACAAATCTAGTCACAAATTTTTGTTCTTGAATCTAGACACGAGCCGAGTACTTGCTAATTTTCAAGTACTTGTGACTCGGTTTGGCTTGTTTAAGTACTTGCTAATTTTCAAGTATTTGCTAATTTTTGTTCTTCAATCTTGAGTATTAAGGAGCCAAAGACCATAGTTTAATTCCATAGTTTTTGAGTCGCATAAACGAATCAAATTCTAAATTAATTCCAAACCGAGGCTAATCAAAACTCAAAACTAGGCCTGTACCCGAGCCGAGTACTTGCTAATTTTCAAGTACTTGTGACTCGGTTTGACTTGTTCAAGTAACAAACTATTTGCTATTTGGCTTGATTGATACTTGACTCGTTTGAAGCAAGTACTTGCTATATTAAGAATTTGTCCAAAATCCTATTACTTGCAAGCCTTGTTCTAAAACTCGGCCGAGTTGGAGATTCGGCAGCCGAGAAGACGGTGGACGGTGGGTAACGTGGCGAAATGGGCCTGATCGGAGTCATTACGCGGTGGACCGAGTTTGTACCGCGGTCAACGCAGTTTAACGAAAACCACGGCGACTTTTAACAAAATTTGCCGAGCCCAAAATGTTTTATCAGTTTGATTTGATGAATGGTTGTGAGAAGAAGGACGGAGTACGGGGCGGGTAGCGAGTAACAAGTATTTATGCCGAGGCCTACCCAAAACTATATTAAACCGATCACTACGATATCACTTTTAGTTTGGTAACTATTTGTTTCAGACCGGAAAACCGAAATCCGATACTGTCGTGAAATTTAGGATCCAAAATGTACAGTATATAAATCTATTCTGAAATTTACGAGCAAACAAGAAAACGAAGATCTAAATCTAAAACGCGCAATAAAGAAAGAAAAAAAGAGTACAATTGCAAAAAAAAGAAGAGAGAATCACAAACTCATAGACTCATCACTCTCACTGAGTCCTGCCGACCAACTGTGACCCAAGCCCTAGCAAGAAAAAATTGCAATTTCGAGTTCGATTTTGAAATTGGTGTTTTTTGGATTTATCTCCGCACTAAG